TTGAATTCAACGCAACATCAATAAATGGGACTCGCGCGAACGTGCGTGCGTGTGTGCGTGCGTGCGTGCGTACGTACGTCAGCGTGCGTGTGTGCGTCAGCGTGCGTCGAGGCACGGCGGCGTGAACGCCAAGCGGGTTTTCGCTTTCAACTGACTGAAATCGAATGAGTACGGATTACACGCTCGCCGCTCCGTCCGCGTATGGGTGCGTCGCTCCGCGTCGCGACGCGGTGCGTCGCGCGTGCGTGCACGCTCGCAGACGCGTGCCGCGCGCGTCGACTCTGCGATCTCGTATTGCGTGATTAATTACAAGGATATATCGAGTAGTCATCTTTTACCATTTCTATTTTTTACACAATAAAAAACATTTTGCATTTATGTTAGAAACGATCCATTTATGTCCTTGTTAAAATTTTGTGTTAAATGTTTAATATTCGAGTGTTATTTGAGTGTTATTTGAATATTTTTTGTGTTAAATTGATACTCAACAATTCTTAGTATTAAAATAACAATTTATGAACGTACGACATTAATAAAGTGAAATAAATCCATATAACAAAAAATAATATAATACTTTATATAAAAAAACCAAACTATTCGCATAATAAAAAAACGTGTCAACGAAAAAACTCTTTCATTTTTCATTTTGTAAAAATTTTATTATGAATATCTTTGCGTTGATGCGAAATTTCACAAAAGTTTGAAAGAAAAATGACTTTAAAATCAATTAATATATCGCAATCATCGGCTAATAATTAATGATAAAATAGGCTTTTAAAGGCACATGAAACAAAGTAAAGAATAAAATTCGTTACTTCTAAGTTAAATTGAAAATTTCATTACAATATATTACGATATGTCATTTACAAGAAACAGTGTGAGTGATGCTTTAACTACGCTATAGCTATATCATCCTCTCGAGTGCTCGAGTCCCTGAAAGCGCAGGAATGCCACTCCGCAACCGACTGTGAAAGTAGTATTAATTGCGACTTTTTAATGCGCCGACATTTTTTCGATCAGGTTTTTTTATGTTTTTTTGGGGAAGGCTCGAAAATGTGTCTGTCTTATACCAGCAAGGATAAAATAAATTACGCTTACTCTAACATTATTACTGAATTAATAAATAAATGAAATATTTGTAAACTATATTATAAATATCCTGAATCAACGCGAAAAAAATTATGCCAAGAACTATAAGAAATTATATACAAATTTATTTGTATCATGTAATACAAGTTTTATTTGCATTACTTAAGTTTGATATTTCTTACATATCTTACATATCTTATTATACATCTAATTGATACAATATAAAAATTAATAAACTATTGCTGTAATTATACAGGATGTCCATAGGTTTTGACAAAGCACTCGTAGATAAGACGAACTATACAAAGTCAAAAACATTTCTCAACCATTTTGTAATTTTCACAATAGTCACCGAGATATTAATTTCTAAAGATTATCAAATAAGCCAAACTTAATGCATAAGTCAATTTCAATCAACAAAGATTTCTTTTAGAATTCTTTATGAAATATCTTAAAAAATTCTTAAAGGTATCTTAAAGTTGTTTTATGTATTTTTAACATTCTGCTTATTAGGTAATGGAAAAAGATTATGAAAATAGCAAAATGAGGGCTTTTCGACTTAATTTTTTAGTTTCGCTCTATTTACATACGAGCATTTGGTCAAAACTTACCAGACATTCCATATTTTAATAAATATTTTGTAAGCGCCACAATTCCATATTTCTTAAAAATATTAACAAACTACTTTTTTTCATCATTTAAATTATATTTTGTCTTCAATTTATCTAGATCCTCCATTTTTTTATCAACATCAATTCGCTTAAATGCTTTATTGCTCTGATAATATAGAACCACCAAATAACGATTGCATACATTGAACCCGCTCAAGTGGTCACATGCATTCTTTGCATCAAATATATCTTCATACACAACAAATGCTGTGCCTCTGGTTTCTGCCGTGTTACCTCTAAAACAAGAATCATAAACTCAAGAATTTCAATTAAACTATCAGACTAGAGAGAGATAGACTTTATTTTTAAAAAGAATATAAACAGAATAATAATCTAAATTGAACTCTTTCAATAATAAATAAACATTAATTAGAAAAATCTGGGTGATTGAAAGCAATAATAGCGCAGTAATTGATACGTTTGATCTTAATAATAGTATATTTCCTTTCTTATACTATAAAACGATCGATTTATAATGTAAGAACGAAAATATATTATTGTTAAGATCAAACGCAATTATTGCGCTATCATTGCTCTCAATCGCCTAAATTCTTCTTTTGACTGCGTCAATTATAATAACACAATACTTACACTCTAATTTGTCTGATAGCTCCGTATTTGCCAAATATATCGTACATTTCTTCAGCTGTGATTTTATATGGTAAATTCCTAATGTATAATACTCTATTTACTTCGGGTGGCAGCCTTACCTAAAATAAGAATTTTATTTATCACAAAATAATAATCACAGAAAGTTAGGTTAAAGTTAGCATTGAGATCATAATATGTCGATATTGCGTAAGTTATCCTATATATTTACATTGGCGCGACGTTGCAACATTGCCATAGTCATTTTAGCGAATAATTTGTCTACTGAATCTTCTGTAACAAAATATTTTTGACAATCAAACGTCCACTGATCGACAATCAACAGAAGCAGCAAGCAGTACCAAGGAGTACCATGTATCAAGTTCAAAGATTCATATTTACAGATGCAACATGGTGGAAAAAGAGTTAACAGCTGAATCAATGGGCGAGTTCAAGACGGCAAAGCGGCTAGGCATGTTTACCGAGCGATTGAATATGATTGGTTAGATCTATAAGTAACAACCAATTATGTTTATTTGCTCGGCAAGCCTCTTTGTTAACTTGAACGCGCTCATTTTGAGAGATAGCCGATTTGATTAGCCAATCAGAATGGAGTCTTAGGCCGATATTTATAGTCATATTATATTTAAGACCATCTTGAGTACAATTTTTATATATCACAAATTAAATTAGATATCATCAATCATCATTTAAGAATTAACATCTTAAGACAGTCTTACTTACGACAGTCTTAAAATAAGAATCGATTATGAATACCGGCCTTAATATGGAAAAAGCAATATATCACCATGAGGACCGGTATTCAGATCTTATATTCAAGATTTTTTAAGTACAGTTTTAAGAAATCACGAACCAATCAGAGGGCTACATTAGCGAGGGCTACTTAAGACAATACTTAATACGGTATTAAAATAAGAATCGACTATGAATATCGGCCATAATTCAAATTTATCATTAGACTGCTTTCACATGCAGCATAACTTGCGTAAGCGTAACTTGCATCATTCAATCAAATCGTCTCAACTATAATAAAATAAGGCCGTCTCATGGAGCGGAAATTTACAGTGGAACAGAACAGCGCGACCAATCACAACTTGGCAGTCATTACTCTGCATTCTTTTCTGCGATTATGATTGGTCTTGTTGTTCCATTGGAACGCCGGCCTTATGATTTCTGTACACTGGAAATGCATGCACTTGCGCACGACAAAATGTGATGCGATAGCCAATAAACTTACAACTCCTAATGTATTCATTGATTACCGTGTCTCATTTTGTCGCGCGGCAAGCGTTTCCGCGTTCAATGTTCAGGAACCATTAGCCCGGATCTAGGATAAATTTTTAGGCCTTAAGCCATAAGAAATACATGATTATTATTATATTATATCACAATTGATTATTCGTCTCATATTCGGCTATAATTGTTTCTTACGGCTTAAGTTAAGGCTTAAAATCTCTTGTAAGTTCGGGGTTATGTCGCATGTGATGGCACTTTTAAAGTGCATTCACATGTAAGCGTCAAACAGCGAAAGCAACAATCAATCAGCTGGACGATACAGACAGAGGTGTAAGAGCTTACACACAACAAAATAAATATTAGAAATAAATATTAAGATTTCAACCTATCAGATACCAGTTACTGGAATACACGGTTTCTGATAGGATAAAATCTTAATATTTATTCCTATTTTTAGGGCTCACCAACTCCGATTAACTTAATCGACTGATTGTTACATTGGAACTGACCAATCGCATTTGCTGTTCATTTGTTTCAGCAGAATTAATCAATCACGGTTGACATTTGATCAACTAATTAGGTTAATCGGAGTGGTGAGACCGATCCCTGATATTTTCTCCATTGTGCACAGGGCCATAGTTGGTACGCTTCTAGGTTACATGACAATTTCCCCAAAAAGTAAACTGGAAAATGTTGGCACTAACAAAAATCCTTCGGAGGAAACTAGGTCAGTGTTACTAATCCGTATTCGTAATTCAAATTAAAATCGTAGTTGCCCTAGGCAACTGTTAGTAACACTGACCTAGTTTCCTCCGAAGGTTTAATCCGGATCAGAATGTAATCAATAACTACAGTCGAACATTGTCGTTCGATTGTAACAGAGGAATACTTGACTGTAGTTAGTTGATTCTTATGCCCGTATTCATAATCAGACCTTGTACTTAAGGCTTCCTTAAATTTGTATCTGTAGATATTTAGCAGCCAATGAAATAATTCGTAGAGTATCTAAAGATAAATTTAAGGAAGCCTAAATATAAGGCCTGACTATGAATACGAGTATTATATTCTGATCTGGATTAAACCCTCGGTGGAAACTAGGCCAGCGTTATTAATCCGTACAAATTAAAATCATATTGCCTAGGGATTTTTGTTAATATCAACATTTTCCAGTCTAATTTTTCGGAAAAATATCATGTAACCCGTTTCTATCCTGTAGATGTAGTACAAATACGAACCTCATCCACGATTCGATTTTATCGACAGTGTCAGAAAATGGATGTCGCATAGTTCACAAACCGACAATGGATACATACTAGCGGTAGTATACGGGCATTTCGACAATAACAGGAAAAAGGCCGGCATGACCTCTCTCAGGTTTCTCTTTGACCAAAATAAAAGGAGCTGAGCACAGCTAAGCAGAAGAATAAAAATGGCTTCTTGGACGAAGTTCGCTCGCTCCTTTTCCAGAAAATATTCGGTCGCTCCTAAATTTGATGGTAGTCATGGCGGTGCAGGTGAACATAAATGAGAAATATTGATAATTTTAATTATTATTTACATATTTAAATGTAGTATTTGTACTGACGAATTTTACAAACAACAAAGTGTCATTTTTGTCAAATTTAATATTATTAATTAATTAATTAAGATTTGAGTGCGAAGTGTCTTTATATTTAAGTAATGTTATGATAGTATACAATGTTTTATAGATGAAAAGAAAACATATGGAGAATGTTAAATAAATTATCAATGAACATTACATAATGGTAACATTGTACTTTACAGAGCAATTTGATGCACAATTGTTGTGGAAGAGGCTCTCATATTTCGTAGGCTTTCCAGCGATAGGTTTGGCTATGGTTAATTGCTATTTGAGTCATCAGGCACATCATGATGATGAACGTCCAGAATTTGTTGCATACGAACATTTAAGGATAAGAACCAAGGTATCAAAATATGTACACACACCATGCGCGCGCACACACACACACACACACACACACACACACACACACACAGAGTAAGGCAAGAACTTGATATAAACTTCTAAGATACAACTCTTTTTTACTTTCTTTATTAAGTATTATTTTTTAATGATATGTTTAGAAATACCCATGGGGAGATGGTAATCACAGCCTTTTTCATAATTCTAAAATGAACCCTCTACCCGAAGGTTACGAAGAATAAGAAGTGATTCTTCTAGATGGTAATAATTATACTTCACATTAGCATTCTTTATAACATATATTATAAGATATATGTATTATATTGGCTTATGAACAATTGAGTCAATAAATGATAGAGATATGACATTTATATTTTTTCCATACTTATATTTTCTTATCAAATTATGATTTGACATATAATAATAAACTCAGTTGGACATAGAGTAAAACAGGACTTCATTCACTTCTCGTAATAATAGGGAGTTTTTGTAATACTGTTTATCCAAATACGCTAAGGTCAGGTTATCTTCTTCTTAATAATTAAGGCCCGGTTGCATCAATGTTATTTTGATTTTAAACGAGATTTAAAACTCTCTCTATCTCGTTTTTAAAACCGAAAAGAGACAAGAATAAAGAGAATTTTAAGCCTCGCTTAAAATTAAAGTAACGTTGGTGTAATCGGGCCTATGAAAAGGATAACATGACTTTAACTGTATTTGGATTCACGTTATTGAAAAAATTCCTTATTTTATTTATTGTTTGTTTCTGAACGGCACATGTTGATAATTTGAAACAGTGCTGGAATATTTGCAATTTTCAGCCGATTGAAATTTAGATTATACGCAAGTTAGAGGTAAGAGACAAGAACCAAGCTGAAAATTGGCTTAAAGTTGCAAGTAAATTCCAGCACTGAAAGTTGTATTTGTTCTCTCAAGAAGTAATCACGATTATATAATCATTATATAATGTAATTATAAGCATGTCACTGCAAAAAAATATTGTTTGCTGTCATAAATTTTTGTATTTTAACTTTAAAGTTGATACTGATGGAATAGCCCACTCCTTCCCCCCCCCCCCCCCCAATATTGAATTTATAAGTCTATATGACGTTTTACCAAAATATTTAATATTATAAACTATATTAAACTTTAATTAATCAAAGATCTGCAAGAAAAAATAATTCTATCTTTATTAATTTTATGTCTAAATATTTATATCATATGGAATTAAAAAATCTAGAGTTCTCAAATATTAGGTGTAGTAAAAAGAAATCCATTATTTTTACATGAAATTGAATGGAAAAATAATGGATTTCTTTTTACTACACCTAATATGATTTAAAAATAATAAGCATCAATTAAATATGACTTCGTTTATCTTTATTAAAATACAATTCTTCCATGATATATTTCTTTTACACTTTGATATAATATTTCACATATAACGAATGTAGTTATGACTAAAACTCTAAATATATCAAAGTAGTGCATAGTCTTCCATTTTAGACTTACTAACCATACAGGCCATATTCGTATATTACCAGTTGTCAATACAGTATAGTAATGGGAACTATAGATTTTCAGTACTTGCAGTCAACTGTAGTAATATATGAACGTGACCTCTATACCAATAGGTAAAAACACTAAGCGCTTATTGGTCTACAGATGATTAAATCAAAATGACAAATCGAAATAGTCAATAGGAAGGTTGCCAGAATTTCGAATCAGATAAAAGGAATGCGCTATTTTGGTATATCTAAAGCTTTAGTTACGACAAATATATTATCACATCGCAATATTTAATTAATTGACAAGTGTTTTTCAAATCGTAGATAGTATTGTCAAATCTGGTATAAGAATATCAAAAACTTAAATATATCAACTAATTTAAACTGAGCAGGAAATGTAATTGACTTGATGTAAGCTATTAACTATTTAGACGTACAAATTATATAATTAATTAATTAAAATTACTAATTAAATTAATACCTTGTGTTGTTTATATATTATTTCTTACACTTATATATCAGATAATACAATTTTAACAAGGAACGTGTCTTTTACAGTTGACTATTAAAAAAATATTAGAGAAAAAATTGAAAACTTTTAATTTCCTATGTCATCTTTTGCACGAATGCAATATTGAAGACATACATATATGTATCCTCCCACACACACGCGCGCGCGCGCGTGTGTGTGTGTGTATGTGTGTGTGTGTGTGTGTGTGTGTGTGTGTGTGTCTGTGTGTGTGTGTGTGTCTGTGTGTGTGTGTGTGTCTGTGTGTGTGTGTGTGTGAATGTACATAATTATATATATATATATATCGCCAGTTAAATTTATGTAAGATCGAACAATTGCACATCACACGATTGCATAGTTGCAATTACAAATGTTACCGGTATAGTTGTGAAAAAAATAACATTTCACAAAAAGTTAAATACGATTACGCTCTTCAACTTTTTCACTATTATTTTTTTTTCTATTATCAGTAAAGAAACGTAAAATATTAACACTAATTAAGATAAACGTCCTCCACCCCCCCTCCTAAAAAAATGACTGAACATGTATCTATGTCCAAACACTTACACATAATTATTATTAATCTCAAATGCTCTTTTTTTTATTATAATTTAGTTATATTAAAAAATTACAATTAAATTATAATATTATATAATTACAATTAAAAATTTAATATTACAATTAAATTATATTTAAAAAAAAACATTTGAGATTAAATAAATTTTGTGTCTGGACAAAGATACATATCCGGTATGTCATTGGACGTTTACCTTATTATATATATATCTTATAACTAATAGAAAAGTTTTGTTACGAAAATAACACGTCAATATAGTTTTAATTTTAAATACATGTAACAATGAATACTGTTTAATTGAGACATGTTTTGATACTAACAATATGTTAGCAGAAGATTATTGTATGGAGTATTTTAAGATACAAATATATATAGTTTTATACTACATCGATACAGATAATCGAATTACGACCCTTGCATTGTTTGTAGTGTTCCGCATTCCAATGCAAAGACGAACAACGTTTGGAACAATAATGAGCTTCCAAGCAAGCCTGACAGTATACCATACTTTTGCGTTTGCATCGTAAACAAAGCCTATCATCTATCTCATCCGAAATTCCCAAATTGTCATTTATATCCAACGAATTTTCATCATTTTTAGTCAATGATTCTGAGTTATTTTCAAGAAATGCATTTATATTTTTCATTTTCTCGAATGATGATGGCGATATACTCCTAATGTTCAAGATACTCGGCATGCTATTGGAGTCGTCGCTTTTCAGGGAAATATATTCGATATCATCAGCATCAAGAAAATCAGTTTTAGCGGAAACTTCTTTTTCATTTACATCGAGAAAATCGTCTCTTTGAAAGGAACTAAGTGCACAAGTACGTGATTTTTTTTGTTCGGATACATGCTTGAGCTGTTCATTGATTGCTTTAATACCACTGTGAGTATCCTTTTTCTTTTCTATATATTTAAACTCTTGAGTGTCTCTATTTATTTCCTCTTCTATAGCTTCAGGAAGTTGAAAGTAAACCGACTCTGTTGAGTTGTCTTCGATACTTGATATATCTTCCAGGTCTCTAAATTTTGATGACATTTTCTGAAACCCGACCTCCTCTATTTTTAATAGTGATTGCTCATTATTTTTGTTGTCCATTTTAATAATAGTGTAAGTATCTATTTCCTCTTCTATATCTTCAGGAAGCTTTTGAGTGTTTATTTCCATCTTTTCCTCTTCTATATCTTCAGGAAGCTTTTGAGCGTTTAATTCCATCTTTTTCTCTTCTATATCTTCAGAAAACTTTTGAATGTTTATTTCCATGTTTTCCTCTTCTATATCTTCAAGAAGCTTTTGAGCGTTTATTTCCCTCTTTTTCTTTTCTATATCTTCAGGATATTTTAAACAGATCGATTCTGTCATGCTCTCTTCGACATGCAATATATCTTTTAAAACTTCATGATTTGATAACATTTTTTGAAACTCGATCTCCTCTGTTAATAATAACTCATTTTCTTTTGTATCTTCATGTCTTTTTATGATATTGGTCGATTGTATCACACTTTCTCTCATATTGCATTCATCTTCAAACTTCAATGATACATCCTGTATCTTCTCTATTTCTAACGACTGGTGTTCATCGAGTTCCTCAATGTCTTGCGCTTCAGTTTTGAAATCTTGATATGTCTCTTGATCAGCCTTAGCAATGTTTTTGAGAAAAGAAAATGATACTTTCGTAGAATCGCAGCTTATCATATCAAGTAGTTCTATTGAATCTTGTGATTTTAAGTTATCTTCTTCAAAAAACGACATCTTATCACACTGGGTTTGCATCTCTACATTTTCGTCGATATACAGTTTCCCGAAACTTTCAAACGTTTCAGTAGAATCATTACTTTGTTCATTCGTAGGATCTTGTTGCTGTATGTTTAAACAAAATTCTGATGTTGCTTCGGCGTGTTCCTCATCTGTGATATGTGGCTCCGATATTTCAGTAGATTCACGTTTCTTTCCGAGATATTTTCTCGGAGATATCGATTCCTGTATGTTGTTTGATGGGAACGATTCTGAAATATGCAATATATTCAATGAATCAAACTGTATCTTTGTGGAATTTAATATTTCAGTATTCGCTTTGACGTCATCACGCAATCCATCTCGTAAATTTTTACTGGATATTTCATTATTGGTATTATATATTATTTTATTTTGGTCTTCCATGTTATACTGAGCTTGTGATATCGCATCATTTTGTTTGCTATTGTTTAATGTTACAATGTCAGAAGTTTCGCGTACGCTTTCCATTTCTACATTACTAAATCTCTTATTTATATTATTAATCATAATTTCTAATTGATCTTCTATGTTCTCAGTTGGCACATCCTGTAATAAATTAAACAGTAGGTTTTGTTTAAAGGAGGAGTCATATGAACTTGTCACTTTCAGAGACTCGTCAATTTTCGCATTATCTTGCGTTTTCGTTTTCAAATTCTTGGCAGACACTTCTGTGATCAACTTCTCTTCTGGCGACAATGTTTCTGTACTCCGAGGTTCTTTTTCCGTATCAATCAATGAATTCTTTTGGGATTGCTTCTTTAATGTATTATTCTCTTGTTCTTCTTGTAATCTTGTGTTTTTTGGAAGGAATTCCTTAGTTATCACAGACGTACAAGGTGACTCTTCATTTGACGCTTCTAAATTACTCTTTGTCGCCGTAGATTTTGGACTCTTTGAAATATTCGAATCAATACTTTGTTCTGATTGCTTTTCTGAAATTCTATTACATTCTAAACTATTTTCATTGTCTTGATTAAGTTGAATCTTCGTTAACTTGTCTACGGATGTTTGTATTGTATCTTCTTGTAATGTTGACTTGTTTTGTGACGTATTATCTTGTAAACTTTTTTCGACGGATTTTTGAACGGTCTGTGATTCGTTTATTATACTCTTTATGTAATCATCTAAATTCACGTACGAGTAAAACAGTATTATTCTTTCATTATGTACTCGTTCGAATTCTTGCTTGCTAAGCAAATTTTTCAGTTCGTCCCACATAATAAAATATGATTTTATTTGATCACGCAATAGGATTTTCTGAATGTCTGTTAGAATCGCCAGATTATTAGAGAACGTAACTTTGTTTCTTTGCTTTTTTCGTTCGATTGCGGACAAAAATAACACTGCATCATTTTTATTTGGAGATATTGTAAACATCATACTTTGTAAGACACTCAATCTTTGTGTAGAAGATTTTGTATTTTCCGAAACAGTGTCAACATTTTGCAATTTGTTGCATGCACTCAGAATTTCTTGATGTGTATCTTGTTGCAGATTCATAGATTGTGCCTTCTTTTGCATGCCATTTGTATTTTGTGTCTCGGTCATCTCTTCTTTATTCAGCACGTTTTCTTGCAATGTATTGTTAATTGATAGATTAATTGGATATATAGATGTATCTTTGGATATTACATACTGGCTTGTTACGGTTGTATTGTTAATTGGATTTTTTGATATAATGTGTGATTGTTTCGTATTGATTGTAGGAGATATGTTTACATTCCCTTGATTTACTGGCAATTTCTGCTGCGACATGTTTTGTTGTACATTCTGCGGGAGATCATTAATCGATAGATCAATTGGATATGTGGATGTATCTTTGGGCAAGATGTATCTTTGGCTTTTTTTTTCGGTTGTAGTATTGCTAATTACATTTCTTATGATGTATGGCTGTTTCCTGTTAGTTGTAGGAGGCATATTTGTATTCCCTTGATTTATTGTCAATTGCTGCTGCTGCATCTGCCATACGTTTTGATTTGGCAAAGTATTTTGAACGGGATGCGTTTGTATGTTGGAATGTGTGGAAGATTGAGATACAATAAGATAAGTTTGGTTTGGATTGTATTGCGGCAAATATTGCGTTTTTTCTGAAGATATTTGAGATACTTGTGGACTGCAGCTTGCTTGCTGCCGATTCACATTAGTGCTTCCATGTCTAGCATTTTCCATTGCAGCGTTGATTCTTGAAGTATCAGGATTTATCGTAAAAGATCCAGATAAGTTGACATTGTTACAGCCTGGCACAATCTGGCGTATTCCAAGAGAATTATTTTGATTTGTCATAGACGATGAATAAACTGCTGTTCTTGAGTTTATTTGCGATGTTTGAAGATACATTTGTTTCTGTTGTTGCACGTTATTAGTAGCAGATGCGGTTGCAGTATTATTAATCGTATTTTGTTGCAAGGTGTGTAATTGTCTCATATTAGTTGTAGGAGACACGTTTGCGTTTCCTTGATTTACTGGTTCACGTGAGCGCATATTAACATTCGATGAAATGTTATTCACAATTAAAAAATCCTGTTGAACGCCAGCATTCAATATATTTGCTGGCATATATCGGCCTTGTATCGGTTGATTCGCATTTTCTAAAGATTGTTGTTGACTAGCGTTCGACATACGTGACTGTGTTGTTAATGGTACATAAGACATATATGATTGATGAATATTTGGCTTAGGTTTCGAGTGATTAGGTTTCGAGTGTGGTACTTGTGTAGAATTAGCCGAATTTCTGACCAATTGCTGCTGGTTAATGTTTGAGGTCATCGGTGCCGGACATGGCATTGTTGAAGACTGCACAAATGTGTCACGATTTAACATTCTTGTATCTGAAAATGAAGCATTTTTCGAAAATTGTTGCGCGTTAACATTCGATATTGATGCATTTGAAGTAGATTTGAATAATCTATTAATATTCGGATATTGTGACGAGTTTGCATAATTTTGCTGTGAGATGTGTAAGTAATTATAACAAATTTGCACATATTTTTTCAATTCCGGAACTGTCACTGGATGATTTTTTGGCATATAAAAATTAACATAAATCAGCGTGCTGTCAATATCCTTCATATACAACCACATTTTCAAGTTTTCTAAATCTTGACTTATTTGTTGCATAGTTATAGATAATCTTTGTACATAATCTTCAGGAAAATTTATTCTTACATGATTATATTGATCAAGATTGCGACAATATCCAACATTGGTGCAGATATTTTTGATTGTAATCTGTATTAAATTTCTGAGATTGTTATTATTTGGAGTATTAACTTCAACCGGTGCAACCGCGGAACTTGTATTAGGTGAGAGGTATATATGTTTAAGAGTGGTGTTATATGATGGCGACAGCCGTTTGGATACTGACTGAGATGTTGATTGAGGAAATGTAAATCGAGGAGGTCCTAATTGAGGACATGTTGATTGAGAAAGTATTGGTTGAAAAGCTATCGATTGAGAAGGTGCTGATTGAAAAAACACTGATTGAGGTGCTGATTGAAAAGATGTTGATTGAGGTGCTAATTGAGAAGATGTTGATTGAGATGTTGATTGAGGTGTTAATTGAGAAGATATTGAATGAACAGTTGTCGATTGAGATACTGACTGGCAGAATGCTGGGCATGCATTCCTTGGAATCGATGCAGTCAGATTCACAGATTTCTCGATACATTGATAACTAAGTTCCGCAATAGAACGGACTCGTACTTTCTTATGTGTCATATTTGAGGAAGTTTGTGGTAATTGTTCTGCTACATCAGGCGTGTCGTATGCAGCTTTAATTGATTCAAAACTATTTTCAGTCGTTATCAGCGGTGTCTTTCTCTCGACAGACATTTCAACTTCTTTAACCTGATTATGCTCTATCACATTTTTAGTTCCCTCTAAAATTATTTTATCTTCAAAATTTTGTTCTTCGTTGTTTTTTTGTTTATCGTTTGCGATAACCTTTTGTGATTGTTTTTCCAAATTGGATGTATCACACGTAAGCCTACTTGAGTCAGAATTATTTTCAGTTATTGGAGTTGTTTGTATGAGAGATTGAGTGCATTCATCTTTTTCTTTTTTGTCATCATAAGCTATCATATTTTTATCTTCGTTTAAAATTGGACGGTTTTGAGAATTTCGTTGTTGAGAATGATTTTCATCATCTTTAGTAATAGGATTAGAATTACATATGATTTCGTCAGTCTCGGCAGTAACATTATCTAATGACGTACCGTCTTTCTTTTCTTTTGTATTTGTGACCTTGCGATTAAACTTTTCAGATGTTCTATGATCCATTTGCAAAAGTTCATTAAGAAAGCTCGGATTATCCTTAAGTGTGTGTAAGTTTTTGATACATGTATTTACTGCAGACCAAGGTGCTTTTAATGAAAATTTCCGTGATACTCGAGATTTCAATTTAGGTTTTATTTTTATTTCTACTTCAATATCACTACTGTTATCATCATCTGTTAAGTGAATGTCTAATGAGCAATTGTCACTATAATTTAATTTGCTAGATGAATTTGACGATAATATGGAAAAAGAATCGTTACTTTTTTCTTCCGAAGAATTTTTTTTTGAGTTTGATGTTATCATTGAAAATTGATCAATTGTTTTTTCGTCTTTCTCCATGTCGTTACTTGATAATAATAAATTTTCGACATTTTTTTCTAACATGTCATGGTTGTCTTTTTTGCTAACATTGTATGATGTTGATTCAAATGTAGACATGATTAGTAATTCCAAATTTGACGTTGCATTTTTTTGCATATTTTTGTGTTGCGCTAAATCAATACTTTCGACATTGCGCATTTCTTGATTTTTTTGCAGATTTTGTACACTTACCTCTTCCGCTTCCTTGTAAGTGGTATCTGCTTTCTTCTTTATATTTTTATTTAAATATATATTTTCTATACTCATATTTTCATCTAAATTTATTTCAATCATGGACGGTATATTATGTTTCACGCTAATATCACATTTACTATTGTTTTCCATGTCAGTTGACGAAGAATTTTGTATGCTCTCTTTTTCTGCCGAGACTACATTTTCTATATTTTTTGACTCATTATCTGACATGTTACGCTTACATATTGATGTTCTATTTTTTACTTTATCTTTTGCAGTATCGTGCTTAGAGTCACACTTTTCGACATTCACAGTGGAATGAATTTCGCACTCAGAGTCGCATGAATTATCGAATTGTACTTCAATCGGTATTATACTTTCTATATTTTCCTGTGAATTATTAACAGGTGTATCACATTTATATGTTGATGCTCCCTCTTCTGTCTTTTCATCTGTTACAATATTGTGGGTAGAATATTTTTCAATATTTGAAATGGAAACGCACGAATTATCGAAATTTACTTCAGCCGGTATTGTGCTTTCTATATGTTCTTGCGAATCATTAGATGTGCTGTGTTTATGTATTGATGATGCTCCATCTTTCTTTTCATCTGTTATAGTATTATGTTTAATGTATTTTCCGGTATTTACAGTGGAATTGCATGAATTATCGGCCATCACTTCAAGCGATATTGCGCTCTCTATATTTTTCTGTGAATTATCAGGTAACATGCATATCGATTCATTAATTGACTCATCATGATTTATCTTCTTTTTTATTGTAATATCACATTTTTTGGTTCTTGCAATGGAATTCCCTAAATTATCAGACTTTGCTTCAGCTAGTATTGCGTTCTCTATATTTTCCTGCGAATTATTAGTTAACGTATCATTTGTACATGTCAATGCTTTATTTTTTATTTCCTTTCTTGTTACAATAACATTTGTAGCACAATACTTCTCGGTACAATTAGAAGAATCGCTTGAGTTATCAGATCTTTCAGCCAATACATCCATATTTTCTTGCGAATTATTAGTTGACATATCATAATTACATACTGTTGCTCCATTTTGTATGCTCTTTTCTTTCGCAACATACTTTTCTTTGTAAGTAGAGGAGTCGTTTGAATTCTTAAATTTTACTTTATTCGAAATTGCGTCCTTTTTATTCTTTACGTTTTCCTGAGAATTATTATCTGACATGCTATGTTCACAAACCAATGTTTCTTCTATTTCCTCGTCTATTGTAACATTGGACGGAGAATATTTTTTGGTGCATGCATCGGAATCGCATGAAATATCAGAGTATATGCTGTCTATATTTTTCTGTGAAGCATTAACAGAAGTTATGCGTTTACATATCGATATCATTTCTTCATCTGTTGTAGCATCGCTTACATCAAATTTTTCGGCGCATGTGCTAGAATCGCATAAATTATCTGAGTTTATATTCTCTGTACTTTCCTGCGAATTGTTAGTTAACATAGCATATTTATCTAACGATGCACTATCTTCTATCTGTTTTTCTATTACAGTATTGTGCAGAACGTATTCTTTGTCGGATAGAGTGGAATCGTATAAGTTGTCGGATCTTATTTTATCTGATATTGTGCTGCCTATATTTTTCTGCCAATTATTAGCCGATAAATCATGTGTTAACTTATTTCTTTCAAAAATACATTCTACCTTTTCTTCTGTTATATTATTATGTAATGGATCATCAAACTGTTGTTTATTTTTCTTTAAATTCAACAGAATTTCGCGTTCTTCTTCACTTTCACTTGTGTCGGTATCGAAATTGCCTCGAAAACATTCGTGAAATTTTGCTCGTATCTTCATAACCTTCATATTATTTTTTTTCCTATGTCGTTCCTTTATTCGCTTCAGGAATTTAGAACTTCCTCTTTCTCTTATCATACATTTCGTATTCTCCTCATTTCTTTCATTTGCTGTGTGAACTAATTCATTATCGGATAGCATTTCGTAGTGAGATGTTCCGATAGTACTATCTGCTACTACTTTTTTTGGTGACACATTCATTTCATTCTCCTTTGATTTCTTTATCAATGATATATTTCGATCTAAACTTTCAGAACGTATCTTTCTTTTAATTACTGTTTTAGAATCTGTTTCAATAGGTTGATTCTCTGTTTGCGAATTTTTAGCTTCTAAATACATTTTTGCTTCATTAACATCTTCCTTTATGGGCGTTTGATGTAACAATGTATCGATATGTTCAATCGACTTTTCTGATTTTTCTGAAGCAGACACATTTTGAATCTTACCTACGAAATTAATTACTTTTACTTTTGCATATGTTTTCGATTCTGAAATTATTGCGTTGCTTGAGCTAATATTATTTTCAAAGATATTATCAGTTTTAGATTTATAGGAATCTTCTCGTGACATGTCTAATAGTTTGCTTTTTACTGGAAAAAATTCTTGCCTTATTTCACAGTCTTTCTTTTCCCTATGTTCTCTTCTAAAAACATCTTTCAAGGGATCGATACTACTTTTAGAGTCTGAATGTTCCTCCAATTGAAATGACACAGTTGTATCTGATTTGTTTATAAATTCGTGAACAACATTTTGTATATGTTTGTTCAGCGATTCATCTTCCGACGAGGAAAAGTTAGGTGACGCTTCAATAGCAGATTTTTTTGCAAAAATATCTCTATAATTTGTTGATGTAACATCAATATGAGATATATTTGTTACTACTTTTTGGTTAAAATCTTGTGCCTCTTTAGTGTCATCTGACGATTTTTTTCTGATAAAATCATACTCTTGAACCTTACTTTGACACGTTTTATTAGCGTTTACCGCATTAATCAATGTTTCAATAGTAGCGTTTGGAATTTGTGCGTCAAATATGTGTTGAACAATATCTTGCGAATTATCTTCTAGTCTGTTGTTTTCGACATTGTCTCGGTGATTGGTTTGCAACCTTTCCTTGTGGATCGGAACAAAATTACTATGCGATGATTGCAGTAACTTCTTTCTGAAACATAAAAATGTGCAAAAATATATAATAATTGTAAATGTATTATAATAAAAAATGTGATAAATATACCGAGTAGAGAAGACCCCCCTATGACTTTGACTTTGACATATGTTGTCAAGATCCTGATTGTGAATAAATCTCCAACAGATTTTAGTCGTTCGTTATTCGTTAAAAAATTATTAAGAAAAGTTTAAAAAAATAACATCTCTTTTCTTATTATTGTATAAAACAAAAATTTTCTGCTTTAAAATAGATTTTCTGTTTTAAAAACAAAAATTTTTTTTGAAAACGTTATTTTCTTATATAATTTTTGTTTTTATATAATAACACATATTACAAGGGCGCACGACTTTCTACGCTTCTTCTTCTATTTCCTGTGTCGGTTTTCCGACTCAAAAGAAGGATCACAGTATTATGCGGTGCATTTGGATCCTGTGATAATTTCTGTGGGAAGATTGAGGCTTCACTCTTTTTATGCTTTATGTGAAAAGTTGTGCGTCCCGTAGCAGGAGGGAAGTAGGATAGACCTTGTCTCACGTAGAAAGTTGTATTCGCCTAGTCGGTCCACCCTAAATCTCCCACCTGCCTGGAGTCAACCTTTCAACCTTTCATATAAAGCGGAGAAATAACTAGCAAATTTGATTGTTAAGTTTTTTAACGAATAAATTTTTAACGAGTGACGACTAAAACCTGGGAGATGAAATCGTTCGCATGAAAAATCGTATGTCTCGAAGCAGGAGGGAGGTGAGGTAAAAATCGCTTCATAGAAAATCGTGCAACAATCCTTATATTGATTATTTATTTTAACTTAAATAGATAATTGAGACAATAATTAAAAGTACCTATAATAGCTAATAATAGCTAACTGGATAGTAGTATATATATATATATATATATATACATTAATTTATTCAACA